TCGCAGTCGGCTGGGGCGCCGTGGAAGCATCTGGCCGAGTTTCCGTTTGACTCGGATGTCAAGAAAATGACTGTTCTCTTCCAGAATGCGACTTCGAACGAGACGCATGTCTTCACAAAGGTAGGTTTGACTTGAGTATGAAGCACAAGACTTGACTAATTCACTATCTAGGGCGCTGTGGAGCGAGTCCTCGCTTCGTGTAGCTCAATATCCATCAACAACAGCATCGAACCTCTCACTTCAACGATCAGCAGCGACATCTATGCAAAGATGGAGGCCCTCGCCATCCAAGGCCTCCGCGTGCTCGCCCTTGCACACAAAGTCCACGACCGCGTCGTCTCCGAGACGGAATTCGTCGACGAAATCACCCCAAACCGCAACGCCTTCGAGCGGAATCTCGTCTTCCGAGGCCTCATCGGCATCTACGATCCTCCGCGCCCAGAGTCCCTCCCCAGCGTTCGCGCATGTCAGGGCGCCGGCATCGTCGTGCACATGCTCACCGGCGACCACCCGGAAACAGCGCGAGCCATTGCCATCGACGTCGGCATCCTGTCGTCTCCTGAGCAGACTCGGCTCCTCCCAGCGGACGTGGCCGAAACCATGATGATGGCGGCGCACGACTTCGACGCCCTCACCGAGTCGCAGATCGATGACCTACCTGAGCTTCCCTTGGTCGTTGCGCGGTGTGCGCCGAGTACAAAGGTGCGCATGATCGACGCGCTTCACCGGCGCCAGCGCTACGTTGCCATGACGGGCGACGGCGTCAACGACAGCCCGAGCTTGAAGCGCGCGGATGTGGGCATTGCGATGGGGACGGGCTCCGACGTTGCCAAGGAGTCTTCGGACATTATCCTAACGGACGATGACTTTGCTCCGATTCTAAATGCCATCGAGGAAGGTCGGCGCATCTTTGACAATATCCAGAAGTTCATCCTGCACGTGTTGGCGGCGAATATCGGGTTTGTGATTACGCTGCTTGCTGGCCTCGCTTTCAAGGACAACACTGGTGTCTCTGTATTTCAGCTTACGCCTGTTGAGATCCTCTGGATGCTGCTTGGAACTGGCGCGTTCTGTGAGACCGGGCTTGGCTTCGAGAAGGCGGTTCCAGATATTCTCAACCGGCCGCCTCAGAATGTAAGTTGCGCCCCTGCTCCTAACCAACACTACTACTCTGTCATCTAACCCACCCATTCTAGCTCAACTACGGCGTCTTCACCCCGGAACTCCTCGTCGACATGGTTGTGTACGGGACTTTCATGGCAGGCTGCGTCCTGGGATCCTTCACCGTCGTCATCTTCGGATTCAACGACGGCGACCTTGGCACCAACTGCAACCTCGAGTACTCGGCATCCTGCGAGCCCGTCTTCCGAGCGCGCGCCACGTGCTACACGACCATGACGTGGATCTTCCTACTGTTCGCCTGGGGCCTGATTGATTTCCGCCGCTCGCTCTTCGACATGCCCCACGGCGTCAAGGCCTGGGCGATGCATCTGTGGGGGAACCGGTTTCTGTTCTTTGCGGTGACGGTCGTGTTTTTCATTGTGTTCGCGACGCTGTATATTCCCGTTCTGAACCATACTGTGTTTATGCACACGGGTATTACTTGGGAGTGGGCGATTGTCTTCATTGACGTGGGGGTGTTCATGACCTTGTCTGAGGCTTGGAAATGGGCCAAGAGGGTTTACTATAGACGGAAGGCGTTCCAAAGCGGAGATCACTGGGTCGGCCGTTCATGATGAGGAGCGAAAGAATGAGGGTAGATTCTTCAGGGCCGGGTCTCGACTTAAACCTAACTCTTCCATCTCATGGCGTAGTATTTGTTTGTTATTTGGGGGTATCATAATGAAACTGTCCCTCCAACCTGGGAGAGGCGATGTCGGCGCATTAGGCGCAATCAAGGCATCAAGCCTCTCGAGTAAAGAAGGGAGTCTGAAGTCCACCTGACTTCTCAAATACCACTCATCGTCCTTCGGCAATCTCTCTCTGTACATCTGCAGGAGCAAGCGCAAGTACTGTTGTTGTCAATCTTGAGTCATCGATAATGAAAATGATCCAGGCCTCAAACCACCAAAAAGTCCAGGTCCAATTCTCTGAGCGATTGTACCCAACTCTTGTTTCGCTTGCCTTCAGCTTGCAACCCCCACAACATATGCAAGGCATCTCTTGCGGCGTACAAGAATCCCCAAGGAGATTCCAACATCAACCTCTTAATTCTGTCAATTACCCATTCCTTCATCTCGATAGTCTTGACGCTCGCGCCAAAAATGAATGTGGTCCACGCCGTCGCCTTGAAGTTAGCATCATCTTCAGGAATAGAGATGAGTGTCTGGTGCAATTCTTCCAGGAGGCTATCAGCCATTTCTTCGCCAAACACCTCGTCCAGCGACGGAATTGCGTGTAAGATATACAAGCAAGTACCAAGTCGATGGGCCGATGCCACGCGGAAACGACTCAGTACCGGATCGCTATATTCTAAAGGCAGCGTCTCGACTTCTTGAGCCCACGCGATGACGTCGATGTTTTGAGCCCGAGTAAACAAGGTTGCGCCAGCTGTGGTCACCATATCGGGTGAGACAACTTCATCCGTTACCGTGCTAGAAAGACGAGCCGCGGTGAGCAAGATGTCGAGGAGTTCAGGCGGACAACAGTAGTAGCTATTGGCCGTCTTTTCGAAAATAGGCAGCCCTTGGCACGAGTGGAAGAACGACCTGGAGTCCGTGGCCGAGGGCCGAAAAGTCGATTCCAGGATGTAATATCTGCAGCTGGTTAGCGTCTGTCGTGTCTCGGAGAGGGATCTACGCCTACACAAAGCAGTCCGACACGAGATAATTCCTCAAGCTCTCGTCCACGCTGGAGACAGGGAGGAGTGACATGATCCTGCCCGCGCCGTCCAAGTGAGCCTTCCAGTTCTGTTTGCCGGACTCGATCAACTCGACATTGATGAGAAACAGCACCGAGGCGAGGAGAACATCCCCGTCGATGGAGTTGATGCTCTCCAGGGCGGACGACATCATCCGCAGCACCTTCTGCTTGGCGATAAGAGCGTCGACGAGCAGATGCTGTGGCCCGTCTCCCCTGTCAAGGGAGTCAGGGCCAAGCCAGGGCCTTGCGCGGTTGTACATGTGCGTCGCCGAGGCGGCGATAATAACCTGCCGCAACAGAGGGTGGGCCTGAGTCAGAGGGAGGAGGTTTCGGAAGGGGTTGTGCTCAGGGATGTCGTAGGCGACAAAGTCTCGACAGAGCCGCGATGAGACTGTAATGCCAATCAGCCATGTCCATGACGAAGAAGCAGCAAGCGGGAGCCAATGGAGGCGTGGGGCTACGCACAGTAAGCGAGATATTGCCTCTGGGAGTGCCTCATGTCTTGGAAGATGGGGTCGACGAGCACCCATGGGGCCGAGTTCTGCGTCAAGGTCTGGATCAAGGACCGGGACGATGTCTCGGTCTCGTACTCATACTCCAGGGGTGGGGAGGTGACACAGACGAGCTGCGTGTCGCCGCTCACTACGAAGGCGTCATCGCCGTGGCTAGAAACAACATCGGCGTCGGCGTCAGCGTCGCCGGCGGTGGTGGCCTCGGAGTCGGCCTCGGACGGAGCCGCAGCGGAGACGTGACGGTCCCGGCGCCTCCGCCTCGGCGACGGGCCCGGGTCGGGGTAGAGCGCGGCACTCGACTTCTGGCCGGCCAGCTTGCCCCGCGAGGCGACGGCGCCGGTCCACAGGAACAGCTGGCCGTAGCCAAGGCACTCGATGCCCCGGGCGACGCACTTGGAGCACTGTGGGACGGAGCGATCACAGCGCAGGCGGCGACGGCGACAGTTGTGGCATGGCTTGTCAGCACCTCCGGACTGGATGTCGGCTGATGGAGCCATGGGGGGGAGAGACGAGAGAGGAGGAAGGCGTCTGCGGGTGCGAGATAATGAGAGGGTTTGAGCATAGAAGCCGGGGTACGGAGCCCGTTCTGAGCCTAGGGAACAGCAAGGTCCGCAGCAAGGGGCCAGAAGCGTCTATTGATTAACAGAGCGTGCATATCAGACGATACGATGCGCAAGTTCCTGGCCTGTGTCTCAGCGAGTTGCGTGGTTCTGAAAGGTTCTTGTTGTCAGCCCAGGTGTGACGACGGCCCACGGTCCTTGTATGGGGGAACTTGGAGCTTTGGCTGGAGGGAAGCTTGCGTCTTGGTAGAGCCGGGGAGTTTCGTGACGGGGGATCTTCTAGTCCAAAAGAGGCAGCCAAGAGGCAATCTTGGTCCCCTCTTCTTTCTCCACTGTTGCCGAAAGCCGGGAACTTGAAAGCTGAGGCGGCGAGTTCCACTAAACTAGGGGATTAGACTAGGGTGAACGAGGCGTGGAGAGGTCCGTTCGTGGCGGGCTTGTGGCTTTGGGACGCCGTTGATAACGTTTAGACATGGGTGGTGCTTTGGCCTCAGTGTAATCATCTGCCCGCGGTTGGTTGATCTGGGGAGAGCTGTTCTAGTTGCCGATAAGAAGGGCGCCAGCTCTCTCGTTAATAATCTGCTGGTGATGACGACGACACCTCGGTCAAGGATCTAGGGACGAGAAAGCAACGATTACTACCAGACACGCGGGGGTAATAAAAGCTCTCTTAATGGGGTTTCTGTATTTTCCAAAATACGTGACAGAATTGCAACAGGAGTCGGTTATCTGGGCTGGTTTCTGCCAAAACCGAGACGGTCCATTACAGTAACAGTGTACTACAGGTGATCAACAGGTCTTGTAAGTTATGGGCAGGTTTCAACTCATGCGGCGCCTTCCAGAGCCACTTTCCACACAAACAGCAAATGACCCCTGTTTCGCGATGGACAATCCGCGAAGAATACAAAAAACCAAATATCCAAGACCCTTGGATGTAGGATAATAATATAATTCCGGCGATGCCGAACCCATCAGCCCTCGAAGTATTTCGACGCTAGCTGCTGTGAGTGGTCCCGCTTTTCTCTCTCCCGCAACTTGTACCGATTTATCGACCCCCAATCATCAAGGCAGAATGGCCGAGTGGTCTATGGCGACGGTTTCAAGCGCATCAAATGTGTACTTTCAACTGCGAAAAGCAGAGAATAGTCCGTTCACGAAAGTGGCAGGGGTTCGAATCCCCTTTCTGTCAAACGTTTTCTTTTTGCCTTGTTCTGTGATTTGTTAGCGAGTTAAGAACGATGGGAACTGGGTACCTTTTTGCTTACAAGTACGCGACGTGTGAATGAGAGGCCAGTCCGACGGAACGGTTCATCATTATCAGATTCAAGCCACCAGTCACAATTGATGTCCGAGTGTTTCTTGACTGGTAGCCTCCTTCTTCCTTGAGATGCTTAAGGCGGTAAGAGAGACTGAGGATAATGGGCGATGAGGTCGTGGCTAGAGTAGGGTTGGACATAAAATCTTCTGCGGCTGTTCAGCACTGTTAGACTTTGACATCACAACTCGGAGGTCTAGGTTGTTCAGACTGCGGGGGAGAGAGGCAAACGGTCAGTCAAGCGGTGGAAACATCACGAGGTTCGGCATTTGTTGGGTTTACTTGGTTTCATTAATCATGCACCGTCTGAATCCCAACACCATAAAGCCATCTTTGGCTGAAATCCAGTTTTCCAATCCGCCATCCATAAATGCTATGCATGCTCCTTCCATCATTCACTTCAAACATTATCCTTCTCTGGTTAATTGTACATCTCCGTCTTATAGAGTCTATCCAAGATTCATCACGGATTGCCACTCAGAATGAGGCAGTGCCCTCGGCCAAGACGACTAGCATTCGATGCATGTCTACCTTATGCATAGCGTCTTCAAGTAGCTGGATCCGCTTATCGTATCGATGGGTGTTCATGGCCAATCGGGATTCCGCAAAGTTCTTTATAGCGAGGGCAACTCTCTTGGTGTAGTACTTGATGAGGCTGTGGCCTTGTGCGTTGAGTGCAGAAAGCTCCCGCTCCCGCTGGACGCGCATGCCTTCCTGCTTAGCGTCAAAGTGGCGGCGAACAACAAAAGTCATGTTGCGGTTCATCTTTCTTGCCTCGAAGACGAGATCTGCAAGCTCGGTAGTGTTAATTGGGTGTTGGTGAGACATCTCGGTCATGGCATCTCGAGTTCGGCGGAGACACTTGATGACGCTCTTGACGTCGGCGTCCATCTGGTCCTCAACGCTGAGAGGTTCCCGGTGAGGGTCTACAGCCTCGAAAGAAGATCTGTGGCGGTAAATGAAACTGTAGATAACGTCTTCACCTTGGCAGTTGGCGGAAGCGGGAGGCATGTCGAATGACACCTGGGAAGGCATTGTGTGGTAATTGAGAGGGTAAGAAGTGTGGTGCGGTTGTGATGAATTGAGGATATGGTGTTGATAGTCTGTGTACGTGTTCGATGGTCGAGATGAACGAAAGAGTTGCGTGAGCTGAGATATGCTTGGGCAATTGAGTGTTAATGAGTTGTGGAAGGATGGAAGACTGATGGATTCCATAATGGGCAAATGACCTGGATTTATACTGTTTCGCTGATGTTTGATGAGAACCACAACGGCCAACTGACTTGATGATAAAAAAGCCAAAAACCGAGCGTCAAGGTTGTTTCGGAAAAAGGATAGGAACGCTTTGGTGAGGACACGGGCTCCGCCGTTGGTTCGCCTTTCTTCGGGCCCTTGTGGCCTTGGTAAAAACAGAATCGTGGGGTCTTTTTCAGATGCCGAGTTAGATCTTCTAGGGCGACCAGGCATTTCTGAGCGTTCCATGGTTCTGGCCATGGTGTGCAGTTCGTGGGTTGTTTGTTGCGAGCCGATGGTTAAAGAACCAGAGAGGTTATCGTGAAGCAGACCGAAGCGAAACACTCGCTTTGACTAGGTACCTAAGAGTAGCACCCAAAGGAAAAGATTTGGAAGAAAATTAGGCTGGGGAATAGAAGGTAAGTCAGGAGCGTAATGTACCTGAAGTTACGGGCTGGTGCATCGGGGTTTCGAAGTTGGCTGGGACTGCGCTGCCATTTATGCGTACCGCCATTCCAGCCTTAGGGATCTCCAATTGAACAAACGTCACCTATATTGCGATTCTACTAAGGATCTTACGGGAATACCTGAGCGTGACGGGAATTGGAAAGCCGTCGATGACTCAGGGGTCCTGCCAAGCCTGTTGATTCTGATCTATCAGATGATCTCGTTCTTGGCATCAGCTATCCGCGAACCACCAGTATGTCATAGTACTACGTAGTTCCCAGCTAAGTTTTCTATGGCCAATGACTAACCCAAGGTCGGCTCTGTACTGGTCCCCAGGCGGAGCGATGCCTCCCAAGACTCAGCCGTCATTGCCACAGAGGTAGTCAACTCTATGCCACACTATGCCGCCACCCGATCATCTGGCAAATTCAATGCCTTCACACTAACGAGGAATTATCCAGTGGACCTGATATACGAGGTCGGAGTATGTTGGTGAGTAAACCAGCTCGACTGACTGCCCTGATGGCCAGTCACATACCCGGAGGCTGGACGCACTGGATGTCTAGTTCACAGGCGACCTCATCTAAACCATTTTTCTCAAGACTAATATCCTTCCTACGTAGAAAACTCAAATATTGTTATATTTAACGCACTCAAAATCGAGACAAGTACGGCGGAATTATTCACACTCCGGGTATCAGGGTCCACGACGCGGCTACGGACGGTTGAAGTGGATCAGGCCCGGGTTGAAGTGAGAAGGTATATTTGAGTAGGGGTCTGATCCTAAAGCTTCAGTAATATTTTTAGTTCAGGTAAAAGACGGGAAGAAAAAGCATCTTGTTGCAAAGAAGATACCGTGGAATCAGGGGTCCAGTGATGCCCTGGTGAGAATGGTCCTCGTCTTGCGATGTATCTTCTTCAGAGACAGAACACACCTAACCCCTTCGACTTCTTGCAGGGAAAAACTCAGTTCGGTGGAATTTCTTTTGTGTCAAAAAGGTATCTCATACCCGGCTGTCGGAGGAGTTGGTCCATGGGACTGGAGATTTGAGAAGCCACGCCTCCGCGGGCGTATCTCGAAAGCCATGGTCTTGTCCGGCTGGCATTGGACTTTGTAACCCATTAAGTCTGAACTCAGACGCTGTAGAAATGGATAACATTCGAGTCCCTAGGACTATCTGCCAGGTGCATATAAGTGGGTGTACGTATTTGCAGACGAGGCCAAGCCTTTGGCCACCCCGAGGGAAGAAGACGCCGTTCGAGGTGGACTATGGAGGTTGACTGGGACTCTTTCAACGTCAAAGGGCTAAGTGTGCCAGGCGGAAAATAGAGTTGTTGTGATGCGTCTACCCTGCTCGCCAGCCCAAGAAGAAAAGAAACAATGCCATGGTCTTAGGCACGGACAAGTGAAGACGGGGCATCCTGTTTGCACATGTGGCTGCCCTCGTACAGTCTTCTCACCCAGGAACAGAATATTAGGATGACCTATACTTTTTTTTTTAAAAAAAAAAATAGAAAAAAAGGAAAGTGACACCTCGAGGAAATTACTCTTCGTCCAACTGAATAACAACGTCTTCTGAGCCACCCGTAGCAAATGCTCCCATGCCATGGGCGTCTCCAATGAGAGCGGCGAGTACGCATCGGCAATGCACAGGGTCGCAGGGCAGATGACAGAACCTCACTTGTACTTCTTATGTGCTCTTTAGAAGTGCCATTCAACATCGTCGTGTCAATCTATCACCAAGCACATAGTAGTAGCGCAGGTTTCAATCCAGGCACTTCGACTACTGGAGTAACTATGCACTTAGGGTGCAGAGTCGCAGGGATGCAGCCACTGAGAAAAGTATCGGAGAGGTCCGACGGCAGGGTGTGATGAACTAGTTGACAAGGTGGATGAGGTGTTGGCGAAGCAACATCCGGATAGATAGTTCTGCCAGGGAAATATGGCAAATTGATGAAGCTGTACGGAATCGCAATCGGGCAGCTTATGTACTACCGTGGTGGCGTTGATGACTGAAACGTCGTGTTGCGTCTTGTGATTCCATCCATCTGGGCGACGTACAGAGATCGATTCCCAGCGCCCATTTCTACAAAGCCGCTGAGGTTACAGCGCAGGTCCCGCCTGAAAATGTAACCGCCAAGGGACTTCTACCGCCGACCCCCACTGAAAGAAATCCCTGCGTCGGCGACTTCCGACGGTGTTCAGTGGCATTCAGTGGGGCCGTCCGCAAGGCACCAGCAAATGGATCGCTGCGGATCGCGGGGTCCATCGCGAAAAGAGCAGGAGCGAGAGAAAAAAAAAAGGTGCCCGTGCTTCCGCGCACGCGGGTCGCCATCCATCATGGAATCCTCAGGCCCTTCAACCCTTTTTTCTTCTCTTTTCTTCTCTCTCTTGGGCACCGTTTTGGCTGCGTGCTCCCCGTCACCTCTTGGTCTTACCCTTTCCTTACTTTCTCGCCCCGTCTAATACTATAGACTCTAATCCGCCAAGATGCCTGAGAAGCTCTACGTCACCTACAACGATGTGAGTGCCAGCGCAACCCCTCCTACCCCGCCACCCCGCCGTGATGGTGATCGATGAGCGATGACGATAGTGCGCGCCGGCGCAAGCTGGAGTTTATGCTGTGAGGGAGATGTTGCCAGACACAGCGGGCGCGCAAGGAGCAGCTGCTTGCAGATTACTTGTGCTGCGACATCGTTGGGATCATCACGGGCATGGGGAACTTTGGGAGAACCGCACCACACGGCGCACACCACTTCTCGCATCTCGCACTGCTTGTAACCCACAGCCACTGACATGACTCTATCCAGGTCCACAAGCTGTGCCAGCAGTCGGCTGACAAGCTGCTCGCCGAATTCAAGCCCCAGCTCATGATTGCCATCGGCGGCGGTGGCTACGTCCCTGCCCGAATCCTACGATCCTTCCTCAAGCAGCCCGGGTCTCCCAACATCCCTATCCAGGCTATCGGTCTCTCCCTCTACGAGTCGCTCGGTAACGACGAGGTCGAGGCGCCGGGAACCAAGGTTACCCGCACCCAGTGGCTCGACATGACCGCCCTGGGCGAGATGGAGAACCTGGTTGGCAAGCGCATCCTGATCGTCGACGAGGTCGATGACACCCGAACCACGCTCGAATATGCCGTCAAGGAGCTTGAGAAGGATGTCGAGGCCGCCCGTCAGCGCATGGGCCCCAA